AAGTCAGTGTCTTCATCTGACCTGCTAATGTTCATGATCCTGTGGACCTTTTCCCTTATTGTCATTATCTGCCAAACTGTTCTCCGTTTTGGTTTAAAAGGAATTTTAATGGCGGATTATTAGTAATCTGCGTAGCATTTTGGGGCTATGAAAAGGCTCTCCTGGAGTTCATTTATGTGCTAATAAAACTTTAGCGATATGAATTTGTAAAGAAGTATTTTTTAAGCAAAAAACAAAACCAACTTTAATTCTCGTATATATGTAAATTTTTACCAATATAAGCAAAGTTTTTTTCAAATTTATTTCGATAATATTTTATAAAAATATAGTTCATAATACACCAAATGACAGAAGAATAAATTTTCTATACTCTGTTCAAAACTCTGGAAAATTCAATACATTTGCATACTAATTTGCAGCTTTCTATTCAGATTTTTTAGAAAAATTAGGTATGCAGTTTTATAGCCCATTCAATTTTAATTTAAAAAAGTGCAAGTTTGAAGTTGCTGGGAAATCGCATTGATGTTTGACAATTTTTTAATGTAAGGTGTTGCTCATTTTCTCCACACAAAAATAATTGTCGCACATACTTTGCATGGAAGAATCTGCATGAAAAAATATTGCCAAAAATCAACGCGATTTTCTAGCAACTTCAAACTTGCATAATAAATAGAAAGTTGCAAATTAGTATGCGAATTCATTGAATTTTACTGAGTTTTACACAGGGATGAGAGATTTTATTTTTATGTTTTTTTGGTGTAGTATGAACTAAATAAAAAAAAATAAAATTATCGAAAATAAATTTGATTGATTGAGATTGAGGTCGAAATATCGACAATGAAAATAAATTAGAATAAAAGACTTTACATATAGTGCGAAAAATTCACTGTGCTAATACTTTTGTTCGTCACTGTACATAAAATAAAAAAAAAAAACATTCCGACGAATTGATGACCTCCTCCTTTTTTGAAGTCGGTTAAAAAATATGAAGCAAAACAAAATATATAAATATATAAAACAAATAGTGTAAATTGAAAGCATAAAAGCAAAAGGCAATAGCTAGAAAAATCAGTAAAATATCCACCACATGAAAAGCGCACGAGTCGTTTTAGCCGCACAGCAGCAATTCAAATAAAGTGCAAGTGCAATGTTGGAGCAGCCATAATGATAGCATTTAAAGCCATAACAAGAACAACAATAAATACATTGCGAATAGCAATAGCAAAAGTAAATACATACATAAAATAACAGTGGTTAGCGGCAATTGACCAACTGTTGACGGTAGCTAATTTCATTTGAAGAATGTCATCTTCACTTTAAGTGAAAGAAGTTAACACATAACACATTTCGCTACTGTAAAGGGAGTGGCGGTGCTGGCGCTGGCGCTGGTGCTACAACTTCTGCTAGTGGTGATCGCTGCGGCAGACGCACACAAACACGCACACCTATGCACTTAATTATCTACATTTAGCTGCATTGCACTTAAATCGCAGGCATTAGTGTTGCTACCGTTGCTGCAGTGCTTGTTTGCTTAATTGTTGTTGTTTTATAGCTAGTGCATGTTATTGCTTTGCTACTTCTTCATCTTTTCTGGTTGTTGTTGTTGGTTTTATTGTTGCGATTGCAACGACGACGCTTCCTCGCTTCAATAAAATGCATAAAATTCACGCTAAATGCTGAATTGTCCACATTTGTTTTGCTCTTCAGCTTAGTTGGTGGCAGTCATCTGCCTATATTGCCGTCTGTTGGTCTGTCAGTCAAACTGTTGATTTGCCTCTCTGTTTGATGCCAAAGTCTTTGGCGCCTAAGTGAAACTAATGTTAATCACATTGACAACGGTATGTGAAGTGAATCAAGTGAGTGGCAATCAACTAAGTATTTACGTACGCGAGAGCGTTTAGATATCTGTTTGGAGATTAGACGATTTATTCTTGCGTTTGACTTTTATTTTTAATTAATTGCACCGACCCTACATGGTGGCAAATGTGTTTCGTCAATGATTAATAACTTAATTAAATTGTTTATAAATTAATTACTAAAAGCGAAACAGCAGCCGGACTCCAATATTCGCTAGTACTATTCAAGAATAGCAGGCGCGCCTAACAACATGCAACATCTATTTGCATGCCTCTTATACTGTCATATTGTATACTTTTGGGCGCCACCTACTGCTTTTGGTTTAGAGAAATTTGGCGACAAAAACTTAGCGTAGCGATTGTCAGATTTCCACTGCAGGTTTTGAAAAAGAGCGACCGAGAAATGTGCCATCTCGGCACATGGGTTATGATTTATTTTCATTTATCAATTTATAGAGAAAAGATATTTTGTAAGGTAAAAAAGTAGAACAACTGACGCAGGATTTGGACACGTTAGTAGGTATTTTTGGTGTCTTACTTTTTCCCATATAGCGCAGATTTCTGTGTAGCTGGACTGACCCCAATAAGCTCTTTCTCTACTCACATCATCCCCGCTATGGATAAGTGGACGGTAGGCAAAATTTTGAAGCAGACAACGGTGAACTTCTACACGGATGGGTCGAAGCTTTGCAGGCGAGCTTCCATACTCTCTTTTCTTGGTGATACTGGCTTCAAAGTGCCATGGCGCACAATAGCAATCAATGGACAGCTTCCTTAATACATAGCAGCAACCTCCGCCTGAACAACACTACATTGGTCTGAAAGCGTGAACTAAAGATTGATGAAGATCCTCTTGAAAAATACTACTCCACCGACCCTTCGGTAAGCTTCGACCCATCCGTGTAAATGAAATCGAAGTCCACCTCTATTAGTAGATCCCAAGTTCATTAGAAAACAGGTGCCGCTAAGCCTGGCTGCAGCTGCATTACTTGCGATATTGACAGGCGCTATGTTAAGTTAGAGATTAGGGGCCACGGTGGGAGTGGTCCTAAGGGTCCCACTAATTCGAATGAGGACAGCTCATTGGACTCGCTCCAGTCTGTTAACTAGCGTAAAATTCTCCAGTATATTGCACCAAGCGAGAAATCCATAAAACATAATGGGCTTGACTATGGTTTCACAAAGCCAGGATAGAAAGATTTTGGAAAAAGACCCCATCTCTTAAATATTGCCCCTCTGCCACTGTAAAGAGGTATTGAAGGCTTCCTTGTTCTCTCCTCGATATTACGCTGCCACGAAAGCTTCCTCTCTAGAATCAAACCCAAGTACTTGAGCCAGGTGAATGCCTCCAAAGGAGGGAGGAGTAGCGTGGGGTACCTTAAATCTCCTAGTGCAAAAAACGAGTTCCACTTTACTAGGATTTACAGCAAGTCCGCCGTTCGCACAGATCATTTAGTTACCACATTCAAGTATCTCTGGTTAAGTCGTATAGGGTATCTAAAAGTTTACCCCTCACTAAAAGTACCAGCTCATCTGCATAGGCAATAAATTGGCCATCGCTACGTACCAACTTCTCTAGCAAGGTGAGAAGACACCCCACTCCGCCGCGACTAATCTGCCACTGATTATGCGATATCTCAGGCATCTGACGATTGCCCCCGGTAGTACATTGTTAAAGGCCGAATAAATTTCGAGAAAGGCATCCTGTATGCAGGCTGAGCTCCCGGAAGGCGATCGCGAGCAATCCTGGCATCCAATCCTGGAGCAATCCAGGATGTGAGAGCTTTTTTCAGCGTTCGGTATAAACGTCAGCCTGGGCACTCTTCAAACCCTGAGGATGTACCACTAAGCGACATAACTAGTGAAGATTGGACACAATCAACGGCACGATATACACATGTAGAAGTTTTTGCAGCCCACTCTATGTAAACCCTCTTTTAGTCAAGCAGAAGTGTGAGATCATTAACGATTACATACATACATTAGATGGCAGGCGATATATGTATTTATGTATGAAAATACTTTAACTAATCCGCTCACTAAAACTGTTATGTGGGACACGAAATCACACACACACTGTATCTACATATACTTAGTAGATGACACGATCATTTCTACTAGCTTAAGCAGGCCACAATAGAAGAGTAGCGTAGGAGCGATTTTGTCTACCAACGTTGTTTTGTGTCTGACACTCTAGCCCTAGATTAGGTTAGGTTAGGTGATACAACATTATTGTGAGGCGACAATGGCCAATTGTGATGCCCAGAAGATAGTTTCTCCATACCTATCCCTACATGCCTTTAAGTCATCTTGATTTTCTCGCGAATCTTAGCAGACCCGCTATTGACCGCTTTTACTATTCAAATACGCCTCAGCGCGTTGTCGAAAAAAATTACATGATCTCTTATTCATTTTAAACGATCTTGTGCAAACCCAAAAAGGGAATATGATTTTAAAAAAAAAAAAAAAAAAAATGTACCAAAATTTGTTTTCTATTTTCATTTTAGTAGGAGATACGACAAGGGCACGGCCTTTACCCATCTGTTTAATGGATGAAATCTATTTTGTATGAAATTTAACGTGTTAGAAAATATTTCGGGGGTGGGTTGGCTGCAAAAATCCTGGCCAGGATATTTTTATTAAATATTCATAAATTATTATTTTTTTTTAATTTTGCACTCATTTCATTAATGAATCAATTACATATATGCCAATCGAAAGCATAAAGCCTATAGAATGTGTGTGATGAGTGAGAACTACTACTAGTATTACCTACCTGTTCATACCAGCCAACCCGAATGGTAGGCCGGGGGAAAAAATAGACAACCCAACGTTTTCACATTCAATAGGCTTAATACTTTCGATTGGTATATAATTTGTTCATTAAACAAATGAGTAAAAAATTAAAAAAAAATAGTAATAATTTTTGAATATTTAATTAAAAATATCCTGACTAGGATTTTCAGCCAACCCACTCGCAAAATATTTATTACTTAACACGTTAAATTTCATACCAAATAGATTTCATTCATTAAACAAATGGATGAAGGTCGTGCCTTTGTCGGATCCTACACTATTTGAGATAATTTATTACACACTGAAACACTTTTGTTATGCACATTTTCACTGCTCACCGTCACTTACCATAAACTGCCCAAGTATCTAAACGATTTTCCTGCGCTTACTGTTTAAGTAAGCCTTGTATTATCAGGTGATTTTGCACTTTAATACGACTCAATTTTATTATCAACTTTTTATTTCTTGATTTTTTGTTTTTTTATAATTTTTTAACACTTAAATATTATCTACACGCGAGTAATGTATTTGTATAAGTTTATGTATTTACACATTTAGCTGAGCCAAAGAGCGTACACACCTTTAACAGATCCTTATTCCTTTGTATTTTTATTTCCACTTTTTGTTATTTTCTATTTGTTTTTTTTTTTTTTTTACACGTGTATGGATGTAATATTTAGTAAACGCACTACACACAGCCTCAAATGCGTGAAATTATTGCTGATGTTTGAATGGATTTTTTTATTTTTAGTTGACAATTCATTGAGTAAAATTTCACTCTTGTTGTGTTGCTTTTTATGTACAAACGCACCGAAAAACTGTTAGCCGACACAACGCTACAACATAGAGCCTGTCTGTGGCAAACCAGCCCGCAGACGGGAGTCCGGAGGTGAAAGGAGCCGTACGCGCGAACGACTGTCCGTACGTCTAACCGTTTGCTTGCCTGTCGCTGAGATTGTCACACTCCAAGTGCTTTTACGCTTGCGCTTTAATTTGGCCTATCAAGAGTTAGATAGTCTTCCTCTACTGCAGCGCTCCTGCCGCTGCTGCACTTTTATAATTACTACTTTTTTCTATGCGATATTTCACATGAAACAATGATTTTTATTTTTCCACTTGATTTGCTAAATTCAGTTCGTTTTAAGTCACGTTAATTTTTTTCTAAAAGTTAATTGTTGCGATTCTCGTCTTAGCACCTGGCGAGCAATTTCCGCTAAAGCAGCCGTTTCATGCGACGTTCGTTCGATAACTGATTTCGCGGTGCTTCCTCACGCGACCAGCAACTTGTCGCGCGAAATCGCGCAACTCAACGCAGCGACGCGCCGAAGAAGAAGCAGCCAACAGCAAGCCAAAGTGGCATCCAGCGCCGATGGCGGCAACAGCAAGCTCATCGTCAACGATTAGCAATTGAAGTGGTAGCAACAGGGAACGATGACGACGACGACGACGACGATGACGACGAGCAACTGTTGGCAGTGACAACAAATGAAGCGCTGAAACAAAAAGTTAACTCTGCGTTGCGCAAGCGTGCAGCGCGTACGCTAACAGCAAGCAGCCGCAAAGCAGAAGCGCAACCAAAAAAGCAGCGATCAACGACCAAATCAACATTGGCTGCGCATGCGCGCCTGCGATAATAAGTCTCCTTTTTTTATTTAACTATGCTTATGTAGGCGTCTCACGCCGGCTTTGCGCGACTGCCATCAGCGCTGGCAGTGACTTGACCATCGCAAATCGATATTCATGTAGTAGGCAGTGAGCAGGCAGGCAGGCAAAATCACATAAGCTCAACTACAATTGCTGATGTCGTCCCCTAACAACGACAAAACGCGCATGCGCTGAAGCCAGCGCGTGTGAGCCGCTGATAAACCGATGTCGGTGGTGTCGTAGTGACAGCGACCGTAACTCCGTTAGTCGCTGCCTTGGTGTTGGCTCCTCTCTATGCTACCCATGTAGGTATTGTTGGGTTTATGTTGCCGCGTTAATGTACTGCTGCATTTGGCGTTTTTTTGGTTTCTGCTTGACTACTACGCTTATTGCTGTTTGTCATTGCTGTTGTCCCCACTTGTTTTTTTTTTTTCATTAGCACTTGTTGAGCGCCTTGTGCGTGCCATTATTTATTAGCTGTGACTTCTCACTTTTGCACTCTCACTAGAAGTTAGTCAACTCGGTTATGCCGCTGATAGCTCGAGCGAATTGTGCAATTTATTGGCTTCACTTTCGACAAGAACAGAGTATTTGCAGATATGCAAACATTTAAGATGCAGTCGACTGCTGAAAATGTATGCAGAGATAACACAGACGAATACACGTTAGGTTAGGTTATCTGGGCTGTCCTCATCCAGCTCGGGAAAAGGACAGAGTTAGAGACTCATAGATACTAGTCGAATTCAGTTCAGCAAAACATTCAAAATAATAGTGGATGCACGGGCGTCGACGAGACCTCGTCAATGCAGGGCAGTGAGATAGGAAATGCCTTACGCTTTCGAGTTCCTCCACAACACAGCAGCCTAATTGCTTGACTGCGTACCCATTCTAATGGCGTGGGTTTCCTTTCGGCAGTGCCCGGTGAGAACCCAAATTTCAAGCGCAGGAGAGGGCAAGATCTGCGTTTATTCAACTCAGGCCAAACTCAGGCCTTGCTATACTGCAAGTGGGCTCCGTAGTTCGATAAAGTTTTTTTTCTAGCCGGAGTTTGGAGGAAAATAGCGGAATGCCCGCATTTCGAGGTTCCTTTCCTTGCTAGTTCGTCGGCCACACAGTTGCCCGGTATTTTTTTATCGCCTGTTACCCATACAATATGAAAGCCACATCTCATTGCCAGTTCATTTAGAGTTTGTCTACATTCAATGGCATTACTCAATGTCGATTTGTCACAATTAAATGCTTTGATAGCCGCTTGGCTGTCAGAAAAGATAGCTAATGCACACAAATTAATAGACAAATCGATCAGCCATCTACCAGCTTCGTTTATTTTTGTTTGTAAGTTCAGCTTACAGCACAGGTCTGGCATATGAAAACTGAGGCTAAGAAAGAGCTCTGGCGAGTAAACCCTGCTTGTAGCCTCCTAGTAAGCATTTAGCAGGGCGTTGACTATGGTGTTACGCGAGTATTGTTCTCTGAGTTTGTTCCTCTCCTTCCCTAGCTCTTTATTGATTGTGCTAGGTCCGATCGCAAGAATAGGCCCATTTGCTATAGGTGACGAAGCGACCGCTGTTCTAGCTAGATGGTCTGCATCCTCGTTACCCTCAACTCCTTTATCTTCGTTAAGCTTAACAATGCACTCAAGGGCCAAGGGGGGATTTGACCTCAAATGATGAGAGCGCATTGAGTTCAGCCTGGCTATCACTCAATAATTCGATTTTCTCACTACGATAATTTTTACGTAGGTGAATCTTTGCACACAGACTAATGGAATAAACTTCCGCCGAAAAGATGATCGGGTATGCTTCCATGGGTTTGCCGAGGGTCAATTGCTATTAGAAAAAACTCAGCTAAGGCGAATTAGCTTTAGCAGGCAACATAATTTTACGAAATTTTTCTTCTTTCAGCATTTAAATTAATATAAACGACACTTAATGCCGTTCTCTAAATCCACAAATTTATTTTATCTCGTTTTGCAAATCGAGTTGAGTCATTGCAAAAGTAGAAAAGTGCCAGTGGCGCTATTTTGCTTAAGTAGCTTTGCATGTAGTGTTTAATAATTTCCAAAAGATAATAAAGTTGTAAAACCAAACTACATAAGCACATTGTTGTAATTAAAATATTGTAAAAAATATATATATATATAAATTTAGCTTCCATTTTAACTCCATTACAGCATCTATAAAGCACACCTTAAAAACGTTCAAACTATTCCTTCCATAAAATCATAAGTGTGCATGGCTATATATGTATATAAATGTATACATAGTGCACATTTATGTTCGTAGCGAAGTGAGCGCATATTGTCACCTGTCACTTGTCAAACGAACATTATAACATCGCATTTCGGCATACATGAAAAAAAAATCAGCTAATGAAAAAATCATTAACCAGCCGCCACTCGATGCCGGCGTCTTACATGTATAAAGCTTTGCCGCCGTCTGTTTTTTTTACTGCAGTTTTTGTTGTGTGATGCCACTCACAGTTTTACCGTGATATTGGTAGCATACATACTGAATATACATATGTACATTAGGTTGCACCACTATCCATAACAAAAAGTCGGTACTGTTTTTACATCGAAAATATAAAACTTATTATATTTTAAGACTTTCGCCAGAATATTTCGGAAAAATATTATTTGAAAATACCTTGAAATATCTAGTTTTCTTTTTATAAATAAAATTAGTTTAAAAAGATTTTTTTTTGTTTCTAAAAATCACGTCAGATGGTAGACGAGTTTAAGCTTAAAAGGTTTGCATAAAAATGTTAAAAAATAAATTTCGCGGAATTAAAATAGTGAGATTTATGGAATTATTTTCAAATCTCTATAGCTCACATAAATCGTAATATTTTTCCGAAATATTTTGGTGGAACTCCGGTGGAAAAACCTCAAGTTAGTTGGTGATTCACCCTAATGTGTATAAAAATATATACACGGTATGTATGTAACTATGAAACTTTTGCAACACTTGCACTTGCTATATACTCATTGCAAACATTTTATTAACTTTCGTTTTCTTTTGTTTCTCATCGACGTGATTTGGCTTGCTTTAACTGGGAAGCATGGGAATATATTGTTAAGTCTATACAGAGGTCAATCAATACTTTTACACGTTTCGGTTGTTTTTTTTTCATTTTAGTAGCGCTGCATAAATACATACATACAAATGTGTGTCGTAATTTTCGGGATATGAGTTTGTTTGACAGTGAATCATTGAAGCCGCACAAGCTAACGGCTGAGCGATGCGAGCCATGATTGGCTTTGAACAAATTTTAGCACGCGAGAGATGCTAACGAATTTTCTAGAAAGCACTTGAAAAACCTGCTTGCAAATTATCACTTGTTAAAGAAGGCAGGAAGTTAATGAATATTTGCATCAATTTAAAACATTTTAAGCTAAATCGCTCAGGAAATAATTTTATGTTTAATTTAGAAAATATTTTATGATTCAATCAAATAGGCAAAATTTGTTTCTTCAAGATCACAGCTTATTTCTAGACAAGGTAGGCACCGGTGAAGGTAAATGTCAAATAAATGTAGGTAAAAATTCAAAAAAAAAAAAAAACTTGATTACTTTTCGAAAAATCTTCTTATTTTTTTGGTTCACTTCAAGTGGCACAGCGGTTGTAAACAAGGAAAGTACTAGATTGAACCAACAAAAGCATATCATTCATTTTAGTTCTACTCTTGACCATTTTTAGTATTGGATACTACAGCCTTAATGCCCAAGTATGGAAAATAATCCCGTTCGGAAGACTGTTCTATAGATATCTTATTACATTAAACGAGCAATTCTTGTATATATATATATATCCATAGAGTTCTTGGAAACGGCTCTAACGATTTTTATGAAATTTTGTACACAGATAATGTTTTGGATTTTAAGGTTATCTGAATAGGCATTATCTCCGAGAAGACTCGTATAAGGTCGCCACTTATTCGAAATTAGTTACATATCAAATAAAACATCATAATATGGGTATTAAATGGAAGGTATTTTAAATATCTCCAATTCAAAAATATTTTTAATAGGGTTGCCACCTATTTTGAATCGCGGGTTAATTTAATTTTTTTTTTTAAAGGTAAAGTGTTACTATTTATGGGTACCAAGAGAAGATGCTTAAACAATGCTTTTCCTAAATACAAAATCTTATCTCTTATGATAATAGTGTAAGGTTGCCACTTATTTTCGCTTCTACACAATTTATCTAAAACATGGCAATATGGATATCAAGTGAAAGGTATTGTTGAGAACTTTGGTCAGAAAATATTTTCTATCAGGGTTGCCACGCTTTTATGTAATACAAATTTTTATATTGGTAATTTCAATGAACATTTTTTTATGTATACACAGTACATATGCGCTAAAGATATGTGCCATTCATTCCAGCGTACTTCGGAATAGGATTGCCACCTAAATTTTAGAATAAGGAATTTACTTAATAGATAAATATTTTTTAAAGCCATCCAAATCTAGAAAACTTTAAAAAGTATATGCACTCCGGGCGAAGCTCGGTCAACCTGGTACTTTTAAATAATTCAAGGTCAACTCGCTCCTTACCACTTGAATCGCCGGAAGCAGCAACTGCCA